CCGATGCAGTCGGGCACGGGCACGTCCAGCACCTTGGCCTTGTTGGCGTGCTTGGCGCTGAAGCTGACCTGGAGCCAGTTGTTGAGGTGGAGGCACCAGGAGGCCGAGGTCTTGCCGAGCTGGTCGAACTTGCCCAGGCTGCGGTAGGCGACCCCCACCCCGAAGGCTTTGCTGTCCCGGTCGAACTGCACCTCCCAGTAGTGGTCGTCACCGTCGATCAGGGTGTCCCCTATGGGCACAGCTCATGAGGGTACCCATGGGTGCCCCCTGCCCACCGCCAGCACCCCCTTGTGCCCTCAGGGTCCCCACCAGCACCCGGTGGGTGCCCGCGGCTCTCACCCAGGACTGTGTAGGACTCGGCGGTGAAGCGATCCCGGCCCCCACGTCCCAGGGACGTCCTCTTGGGTGACTGCACGGCCCTAGGACAGGCAAGGCTGTGAGCAGCGGGTCCTGTGGGATCCTGCCCTTGGCTCGGCTCTGAGGGACCCCCTGCAGCCCTGTGTGCAGTGCTGGTGTCCCCAGCATCAGGACATGGAGCTGCTGGAGCAAGGCCAGAGGAGGCCACGAGGACGAACAGGGTCTGGAGCAGCTCCTGTATGGAGCCAGGCTGAGAACATTGGGGCTGTTCAACCTGGAGAGGAGAAGCTGCGTGGAGACCTCAGAGCAGCTTCCAGAGGGCTACAAGGATGCTGGAGAGGGGCTCTGCATCAGGGACTGGAGCGACAGGACAAGGGGTGATGGGTTCAGACTGAAACAGGGGAGATTTAGGCTAGACCTAAGGCAGAAGCTCTTCCCTGTGAGGGTGCTGAGGCGCTGGCACAGGGTGCCCAGAGAAGCTGTGGCTGCCCCACCCCTGACAGTGCTCAAGGCCAGGTTGGACACAGGGGCTTGGAGCAAGCTGCTCCAGTGGAAGGGGTCCCTGCCCGGGGCAGGGGCTGGGATGTCTGAGCTGGGGCCGGGGGGCGATGCCGGGGCCGGGGGGCCGTTACCTGGCGGGGGAGTTGGCCGGTGAGGCCGTTCTGCCTTTGCCGTCCTTGTCGCGCGCTTTCACGTCCTGCAGCTTCCCGCCCGTCGCGTCCCACTCGACGCTGAGCTCCTCCACGCGCAGGTTCTGGTGGCAGGTGCTGGCGTCCAGCCGGAACGTGAACGCTGCCGACGGCACCGTCAGCGCGCGGCACCGCGGGGCCCCGGCACAGCGCCCTGTGCCCCCCCCAGCCCGGACCCACCTCTTGTCTCTAAAGTGACCGGCTCCGAGAACTCGCCTGCCACAGCCTTGTTGCACGCCCGCACGCGGAAGTTCATGTACCTCATATCGAACCTCATCCCTGCGGGGACAGCAGGGCCGCACAGTGGGGCACGGGGGGACCGCCCCCCCCCGTCCCCTGCCGCTGCCCCCAGCCCCATGGCACTCCAGCCCCCTGCCCGCTCCCATCCTGGCACCCTTTGGGCGCTGCCCCCGTGCCCTCACTGGGGAGGGTGTACTCAGTGCTCCTGATGCCCTCGACCACCATCCAGGGCTGGTCCTCCTTGGCGCGGGGCGGCCCCTCGAAGTTGGTCCTGCGGTACTCCAGCACGTAGTGGTCGATCTTGGTGTCCTCCTCGGGCATCCTCCAGCTCAGCGTCACGCAGTTATCGGCCACCAGAGACTCGGCCAGGTCGATCTCGGGGGTGCTGGGCACTGCCCGCATGAAGAGCCATGCCAGTGGGGGCCCCCTGCACCCCTGGGGCACCCCTGGGGCCCCCCTGCATCCCACGGGCTTGGTAACTCCATGGCACAGCACCCTGGGGACCCCACATGGGCACCCCCAGGCACAGCATCCCATCCCTCCCATCCTGTGTGCGTGGGCTGCCCCAGGCCTTGCACCCCCTCCAGCTCCTCACCCCGTCCCTCAGCACCCACCCCTAAACCCCGACCCCATCCTTGCGCTGTCCCACCCGGGCTGGCACAGCCCCAAGGTGTCCCCTTGCCCCCGCGGTGCCCGCTGCCCCCCGTGTCCCTGCCTGCGGGCAGTACCTGGCAGGAAGGCGATGGCCTGGAGGACGCGGCGCTCCTGGGCGAAATCCACCATCAAGTGGCTCATGTTATCGCTGGCCTTGGCCTTGAGCGAGAGGCGGAAGGCGGGCGCCATCGTCACGCTGCACCGGGACAACGGGGAGCAGGGTGAGCAGGGCCGGGAGCCGGGCACCCGCCTGCCCTGACCGCTCCCCCCCCAGCACCCGTGGGGCACCCTCTGCGGGTCCTGGCTGGGAGGAGGGGGGCGGTTGGTGGGGCACGGGGGGGCCGTACCTATCCTTGATCTGCTTGGCAGCCTGGCGAGCGCAGGGGGAAAGAGGAGGGAGAAACAAAGCAGATGAGAGAGCAGAGCCAGGGGCAGTGAGGGCAGCAGGCATGGACCCTGCGGCTGAGTGTGCCCGTGGTCCCACTGTGGTACCCAGCAGCACAGCACCCCTGCATCCCCACTGCACCCCTGCATCCCCACAGCATCCCCACGGCATCCCTGCATCCCCACGGCATCGCTGCATCCCCACGGCATCCCTGCATCCCCACAGCATCCCTGCATCCCCACGGCATCGCTGCATCCCCATGGCATCCCCACGGCATCCCTACGGCATACCCTGCATCCCCACAGCACCGCTGTATCCCCACAGCATCCCTGCATCCCCATGGCATCCAGGCATCCCCACGGCATCCCTGCATCCCCACGGCATTGCTGCATCCCCACGGCATCCCTACGGCATCCCTGCATCCCCACAGCATCGCTGTATCCCCACAGCACCCCTGCATCCCCACGGCATCCCGGCATCCCCACGGCATCCCTGCATCAGGAGGAAGGGAGCATCAGGCAGCTCTGGGACCACCCCAGGGGGTCTCCATGCACCCCCAGCCCCACAGCAGGCACAGCCACGCCAGTGTCACCCAGTGCCCAGCACAGAAAGAAAAGGAGGGCGCCTGCCCGGGGTGAGAGCAGCATCAACCAGCAGGTAAAGGAGGGTCCAGGACCCCCCCAGCGTGGAGGCCACCGGATGGGGACATCCCCCTGCGCCGGTGGGGATGTACCTGGTGGAACTCGTGGTCATTGGCCATCCCCAGGGTCTGGTTGGCGGCTTCCAGCAGCTCCTCTGAGCTCTCCAGGGCCTTGGTACACGCCGCAAGCTGGGCCTGGCACAGGGGGGAGAGGGAAGTGATGGGTGAGGGTTAGGGGTGGGGGCACACGGGGGGTGCTCACCTGCAGCTCGTAGGTGCGCTGCGCGCGTTCCTGCTTGATCTTGGTCACCATGTCCTCCTTCAGCTCGTCCAGCAGCGCAAACAGCGACTGGAACTCCGCGTCCAGGTCCTCCTGCGCCCGCGTCGAGTTGTCCTGGGCACAGCGGGGTGGGGGGGGGTCACCGGGTACCACCCTGCACTGGGGATGGGGAGGGCAGGGGGGTCTCTGGTACCTGCACATTCTGCATCATCTGCTTGAGGGAGTAGATGAAGTTCTGGATCTCCTCATTCTTCACGGCCAAGGTGGTGATGATCTTGCGGATGGACTCCTGCCCGGCCCCGCCACACGCGCTCAGGGGGCAGGGTCCCCCCCCCCGGCCCCCGGACATGGCGGGACGGGGATGACTTGGCAGTGTGGGGCTGAGGCAGAGCGAGGGGCAGCCCTGCGCCCTCCGCCAGCCTCCATCGCCAGCCTGCACCCCGCGGCCTCCTCCCTCCGCGCTCCCACCCCTCCTTCCTCCAGGCCTTCATCCCCTCCGTCCCCTCTTCCTCCTTCTCCATCCCTGTTCCACCTTCCTCCATCCCCTCGTCCTCCATCCCCCCTTCCCTCATTCCTCCATCCCCTCTTCCTCCACCCCCCTCCCTCTTTCCTCCATCTCTCCATCCCCTCCCTCCCCACTTCCTCCATCTCCCCCCCCCCCATGCCCCATCCCCATCCCACCCCACTCCCCATCCCCATCCCACCCCCAACCCCATCCCTTCCCGTCCCCGCTCCCATCCCATCCCCATCCCCGCTCCCATCCCACCCCCATCCCCATCCCATCCCCATCCCCATCCCCATCCCCATCCCCATCCCCACCCCGCTCCCACCCCGCTCCCATCCCGCTCCCATCCCCACCTGCTCTCCCATCCCGGGCCGTCCCCGCCGCTCGGCCCCGCCGCCACCAACAAAGGGGGAGCGGCGCCCCCCGCCCCGCCCCGGTCTGCCCCGGCCGCGGGGCACGACGGGAGATGTAGTCCTGGCTCGGGGCCCGCCCCGCTGCATGCTGGGAGATGTAGTCCTGGGGGGGGGCACCCCCAGCAGCGCCCCGGTGTGGGGGGCCCGGCGCTCCCCCCGACACCCACTGCCCCCCCCCGACAAAGGATCGAGGTGAACGCGGTGCCCGGGCCCCCCCGAAGCTGCTGCCGCCCCCAAGGAGATGGAGAACTGCAGGTGCCAGGCAGGGCAGCACCGGGGATGGGGTCCCCCCGCTGCCCCCCGGCCCCGAGGGACTCCGTGTCCCCATGGGCTGGGTGCCCCCCCCCAGCTCTGCCTTTCTGCACCCAAGAAAGGAGCTTGCAGCACCCATCGCCCCGCACTGTGTCTTGTGTGTGGGCACCCCACAGCACCCGCTGCCCCGGTACCCAGCCGGGTCTGTCCCGTACGGACCGGTCGTGTCGGGGGGGCCATTTCAAGGAACCCCCTCTGCGGCCCCGTGGCCTCCCCTCGTGCCTGAGGGGCGATGGTGACCACGCAGGAAGCACCCGCTCCCCCCGGCGTGGAGCCAGCAGCCACCCCCATGCTTTGGCATCGATGGGGTGTCCCCAGCAGCGCCCCACGAGGGCTGCGCTGGTGATGGGGGGGCTCGTGTGGACACAGGGGTAGGAGTCCGGGAGCCGGTGACGGAGCCACCGCCTGCGGGGTCCCGAGGCACCATCGAGGCGAGCACCAAGAGGGCCCCGAGCGTCGCGGTGCCCACAGACCACAGGGCAAGGGCTGGGCGTGCGCTGGTTTTAATGGGGGGCCTATGGGGGGTCTCTGCTGCTCACAGGGGCTGCACGGCCACCGGGTAGAGCAGGGAGAGGTGGCGGGCGCCGCGCACGGGCAGTGCCCGCGCTGTGTAGTGCCGCACGGCCGCGGGCACCGAGGGGAAGGCGGCGCCGGCGCGGCCCAGCGTGAAGTGGTGCTCCCGTGTCCGCGTCAGCTTCACGTGCACGAAGCCGTGGCTGCTCCTGCGGGACGGGATGGGGACCCAGTGAGTGACACGCAACGACATGCAACGACATGCAATGACACGCGACACGCAATGACACACAATGACACACAATGACACGCAATGACACACAAGGACAAGCAACGACATGCAACGACATGCAACGACACGCAATGACAAGCAATGACATGCAACGACATGCAACGACATGCAATGACTCGCGACACGCAATGACACACAATGACAAGCAATGACATGCAACGACATGCAACGACACGCAATGACACGCAAAGACACGCAATGACAGGCAATGCAACACAGTGACACGCAATGATACACAACGACACGCAATGACATACAACAACATACAATGACACGCAACGACACACAATGACACACAATGACACACGGTGACATGCAATGACACACGACACGCAACAACACACAATGACACACAATGACACACGACAGGCAACAACACACAATGACACACGACAGGCAACAACACACAATGACACACGACAGGCAACAACACACAATGACACACGACACACAACAACATACAATGACACGCAACGACACACAATAACACACGACACACAACAACACACAATGACACACAACAACATATGACATACAATGACATGCAACACACAATAACACACAACGACACGACACACAATGACACGCAACAACACACGACACATGACACACAACGACACATAATGACACGCAATAACACACAACACCACACAATGACACACAATGACACACGACACACAATAACACACAACAACACACAACACACGACGACACACAATGACACACGATGACATGCAACAACAGACAACACACAACAACACACAGTGACACACAATGACACACGACACACAATAACACACAACACACAACAACATACAACAACATACAACGACACACAATGACACACAATAACACACGACACACAATGACACAACGACACATAATGACACGCAATGACACACATCACACAACAACACACAATGACACACAACGACACACGACACACAATAACACACAACACACTACACACAACAACATACAATGACACACAACAACACACAACAACGACACACAATGACACCCAACAACATACAATGACACAACGACACACAACGACACACAATGACACCCAACAACATACAATGACACAACGACACACAACGACACACAATAACACACAACACACAATGACACACAACAACACACAACGACACACAATAACACACAACGACATACAATGACACACAACAACACACAATGACACACGACACACAACAACACACAACAACACACGACACACAATGACACGACACACGACACACAATGACACACAATGACACAAAAGGACACACGACGACACACAATAACACACAACAACACACAACGACACACAATAACACACAATGACACACAATGACACACAACGACACGGGTGCAGCGCCGTGCTCATGGCTCCCCCACGCGGGATCCCCTCTGGGGCCATCCCCGGCGCCCCCCGGCCCCGCGCTCACCTCAGGGACAGGGAGTAGTCCTCGGGGCTGGTCTCGCAGTCCCGCACCAGGAAGCTGCCCTCCCGGCACAGCGCCAGCAGCGTCTCGGCGCCCGCCCGCCCGATGGGGCCGTGGTACCACCTGCACGGCCACGGCATCACCCCCCTGCGCCATGGGGCACCCTCCGTGCCGTGGGGAACCAGCCCCACCGCATGGAGCCATCAGCATCCACTGCCCCACAGGAGCACCTTCTGCACTGTGGAGACTGGCTATGGCGCAGCACAGCCAACCGTGCCAAAGGGAGCAAGCACGCCATGGGGCACCCTTCACACCATGGGCGCCCATCCATCCCATGGGGCACCCATCCATCCCATGGGGCACCCATCCATCCCATGGGGCACCCATCCCTCCCATGGGGCACCCATCCATCCCGTGGGCACCCCTCCATCCCATGGGGCACCCATCCATCCCATGGGGCACCCCTCCATCCCATGGGGCACTCATCCATCCCATGGGCACCCATCCATCCCATGGGGTACCCTTCACACCTTGGGCGCCCATCCATCCCATGGGGCACCCATCCATCCCATGGGCACCCATCCATCCCATGGGGCACCCTTCACACCATGGGCGCCCATCCATCCCATGGGGCACCCATCCATCCCATGGGGCACCCTTCACACCATGGGCACCCATCCATCCCATGGGGCACCCAGCATCTTGGGGACCCATCCATGGGGTCCCTGCACCCCAGGGGGCTGTGGGCACGCCATGGTGCCCCATGGAGGAGGGACCCAGACTCACACTTGCTTCTCCAGCGGGAGTGAGGCGTCCACGTGCCGGGGGCTGGGGGGGCAGCTGGTGCCCGGGGGGGGCCGCTGCAGCTGCCGGGACAGGCTGGGGGAGCGCTCGGGGCTCTCAAACTGCACTGGGGGGACAAGGAGGGTGTCAGCACCTATGGGTGCTGCTGTTGTGGGGCACCGCTCGCTGTCAGACCACAAAGGAACGTTCCCGACGGCCCCACTAAGGCTTTGCCTTGCCATGGCCTCCTGTTGTCCCCAAGGGGTGGGACCCATGGGTGCTGGGGGATACCAGACTGGTACCCATGGATGCTGGGGGACCCCTGGATGGTACCCATGGGTGCAGGGGGACGCCAGTGGTGGTACACCTGGGTGCTGGAAGATGCCAATATGGTACCCGTAGGTGCTGGAGGACCCAAGGGGTGGTACCCATGGGTTCTGGGGATGCCAGGGTGGTATCCATTGGTGCTGGGAGATGCCAGAGTGGTACCCATGGGTGCAGGGATCCCCCAGCGGTGGTACCCATGGGTGCAGGGGTCCCCCAGCGGTGGTACCCATGGGTGCAGGGGTCCCCCAGCGGTGGTGCCTGTGGGTGCAGGGGTCCCCCGGCGGTGGTACCCGTGGGTGCAGGGATCCCCCAGCGGTGGAACCCATGGGTGCAGGGGTCCCCCAGCGGTGGTACCCGTGGGTGCAGGGATCCCCCAGCGGTGGAACCCATGGGTGCAGGGATCCCCCAGCGGTGGTACCCATGGGTGCAGGGGTCCCCCAGCGGTGGTACCCGTGGGTGCAGGGATCCCCCAGCGGTGGAACCCATGGGTGCAGGGATCCCCCAGCGGTGGTACCCGTGGGTGCAGGGATCCCCCAGAGGTGGTACCCATGGGTGCAAGCATCCCCCAGCGGTGGTACCCGTGGGTGCAGGGATGCCCCAGCGGTGGTACCCATGGGTGCAGGGGTCCCCCAGCGGTGGTACCCATGGGTGCAGGGGTCCCCCAGCGGTGGTACCCGTGGGTGCAGGGGTCCCCCAGCAGTGGTACCCGTGGGTGCAGGGATGCCCCAGTGGTGGTACCCATGGGTGCAGGGGTCCCCCAGCGGTGGTACCCGTGGGTGCAGGGGTCCCCCAGCAGTGGTACCCGTGGGTGCAAGCATCCCCCAGCGGTGGTACCCGTGGGTGCAGGGGTCCCCCAGCAGTGGTACCCGTGGGTGCAGGGGTCCCCCAGCAGTGGTACCCATGGGTGCAGGGGTCCCCCAGCGGTGGTACCCATGGGTGCCGCGGTGCCGTCACCTGCGAACGCCCGGGAGATGTGATCCTGCTTCCACTCCCAGGGCTGGTCGTACTCATCTGCCGGGCGCTCGTCGTCCCGGGGCAGGCGGCTCTCGCGGCTCTCGCGGCTCTCGCGGCTGCCGCCCGCGCCGGGGCCGTCCCCGGCCGCCTCCCACTCCTCACTGGGGGTGTCGTAGAGCTGCGGGCCCCGCCGCGGCCGCCCCCGCCGGGCCCCTGGGGACAGGAGGCGCTGGGACATGGGGGGGGGACACCGGGGGGGGGGGTCCTGGGGAGGGTCGGGGGGGCACCCACCTGCGGCCTCCGCGGGCTCCTCGCAGCCGCCCTCGGGCGCCGGCTCCTGCTCCCCCTCGCACGGCTCCGAGTACTCGCTCTCGCCGGGGCCCTGCGCGGTGCCCGCGGTGGGACG